GTAGCATTTAAAAATAATTATACACTATATTACACGTAGAAATTTAAGATTTCACAATTCAAAATAATTTTATTACACCTTAAATATTTTAATAAAGTTTTTGTAAATTATAATTTAATTATTTTTTGAGATTTAATATTTTAAAGCTATTAATAATAATAAATTAATTTCTTGGATAATAAAAATGCATTTTGATGCACTTTTCTGAGTATTATCTTAAGTAGGAGAAGTACTTGTAATAAACCAAAAAATAACTTTAAAGTGGTCTTTTAAGGGACCTCCTGTTGTTTTGTTAGGGATTTGTCTCAGATTCTAGACTAACATAAGTTTCACATTTTTTAAAATTCTTTCGAGGAAGAAACAGTGTCACTTTCTACATTAACACATGTGCGACATTTGAAGTTTCTCCTCAAGGCAATTAGGATTTTTTTTTTTTTTTTAACATCTGACGCAAAATCAATTTTACTGTAAAATAATATTTTAATTAAATGAGATCAACATCTTGAAAATCAAGAATAATAAAAACTCTCATTATTCACTAATTTAATTTGAGGTTTTTTATAAATAATAAAAAATATTGTCTAGAAAAAGATCAATTCTTTATTATACATTGAATAATTTATATGTTTTGTATACATTAAATGTAATTTTATTCATTTATTAATTAATTTTATTGTACTTCCCAATTTTTTATAATAGCAATATCTATTTCAATTTATCAAACTAAATTGTTTATACGTTTATTTACATAAGTTATTTTGTGTCAAGTTCTAATTCCTTCAATATCACGCTAGATTTTGTGTGGCGGTGGAAAAATATACATCGTGACATATGATAACACTTTCTACGTTCCTGAGTTCACATAGTCACGTGACCAGCTGCTCGGTCTTTGGCCCTCTTCAAGAATTGTGAGCGATTCAGTTCTCCGCGCGAGTTACGGACATGTGCAGCATGCACGCGTGTAGAATCTCGAACGTGCTCTAAATAAGATAGTTATGTTAATTTTATGGAAGCCGACGCTGTTGACGTCAACCTTGAGATTGCAAAGTTTACGAGGTCCTCGCTACACGAACCGATAGAATCGCTGCAATTAGATGAAAGCATTAAGTTAATTATGAATGCACCATAACACGCACTGTTCGTTCGCCATAATTTACCAGCTAAGTTCGTACGAGATATTTTTTATTGTTTACAGTACAGTATTTTTTTCTTTGCTCTACGTGACTCAAAGTCTCTTAGAAGTGTCTTATCAGTGAAAACGTGCTTTATTAAAAACAAAACATTGCACAAAGTTGAATCTACCATATGATTGATCATGTGGCTGATATACTGAAATGTGATATCTGTCATTCGATTCATGAGTGACAATGAAGAAACAACGTGGAAGTAGTGTAAAATCGAGCGTTTTGTAATTAAACGATTAAATTATCGACGATGTTGAAACACACGAGTAGGACTGGACGACCTCGGGTCGTCGTAAGAAGACGGAAAGGACGCTCGTTGTCCAGAAGCTGGCCTGGTACACCCAGAACTTTATCGATTGTGTCATCCGAGGTAAAAAAGAAGTCCATTGTATTTAAAAATCTACGCATTAAATCGAGTAAATTGTGCAATACAAATTTATCATTCTTTTTATTAACTTCGGCTTTGACATTTAAAAACAAAGATATCTGTGCGTGAAATTTCACCAATCACTAGTAAAAAACACTTCAATTTTGATGAAAAATATCCAACAAAATTTATGAGTTATAACCCTGGAATTAAACATTAATTAAATCTTATATTATTATAGAATTTTTGTCTTTATTAATGATTTTCATTAATTATTGGTCTTATTTTTGTTTCGGTGCTGTGTTGCGGAAATTGTCACTTTAATTTTATACAAAATTCTGATTATCGATCTCGATAGCGTATCCTTTTAGTTGATTATCTTGTGATCATATCTAGCGATTATCAAAAGGGGTCATTGATACTCGAGAATGTAAAGAATGAAGAGATAAACTTGCATTTTTTTATGATCGTTTTATCTCATCCGATGTACACGCGTATGTGGATGCATACCGCCCACGCACACGGGTCGGAAGTCCCACGCAGAGATTGGGCGCACAATATAGGAGAATGGCGAATGGCATGAATGGGAGCGTACAATTGAGAGAGTAATTTTTGTTTGAGAGATCGCAGTTAACTGCTCGTGAAGATAATTAATAATCATAAAAGCTAATAATATTTTTGCATCCAAAAACATTACTTTTTACTCTATTCTATCGTATTTAAGTAATTATTAAAAAATAATTTTATATTATTTGTGTTGCGCTAACAATTTTTACGAACAGTTTATCAATTCATATCTTTATGTGTTAGTTTATTTTGGATAATGGTTTAATTTTTGTGGAATTACCAAACGTTACGAGATAAGATATCGGCTTAACTCAGGAACCGGATTTGGTTAAGAGAAAGCATATACATTCTGATATAAAAGTCGTATTTTTTCTGATAAAGCATGCCCTGGATGTAGAATTTTAAAAGTATCGTTAAACATTTTTGCCTGAATAATTCGCTATTGGGTTGTATTCATACTTAATGTGAGAAATACTTAATTCAACCGTTATGTCAAGAATTATGCACATTCTGCATCGTCTGTTTATACGTTGCATCACGATCGTGTTTTGCCTTCGATTGCTGATTCTGAAATGTCACGCATGTTTTTATTAAACACGATTAAGTAAGGAGAAAGTGTAATTACAACATGTTATTTTGTTATAGCTACAAAAAGAATGATAAAATTTTGTCACTGATATCTCAAAATTGAAAATGACAATTGACATTATTAAATAATATAATTTTTTATGAAATATAATGTAAGAAGTTTAATTAAAATAATTTGATGTTGAAATAAAATTATTAGAATTAATTAAGAATTATAGAGAGAATTATATATATATAAGAAGAATTATAAGAATTAGTCACTAGAATTAAACAGAATTAAACAGAATATCGAAGTAAATTTAGAATTAGTTTCCAATTCTGTTTTAATGACTGCGTGGATAGAATACCGATTGTTTGAAAAATCTGCAAGTAACGCTTTGTCATTTCTTCTACGCCACGATAAACAGCCAAACTCCTTTTTGTGTCGCGGTAACATATGCGACCGCGCAAAATACCAAATCGGAACGTCGTGCTGCACGATCGATCGCCGATAGAAACTGAACTTTCATCCCGAAATTGGCTAAACATTCATTCTAACAATCGCATCACGAGGGAGCGGTTCCATGAATGGGACGTATAACTGGCGTATCAACCGGAAGTCCGGCCTACGAGTTCCGGCCTGAAGCGCACTCGTCTCATTGTCTCTTTCATCCTTTTTTTTCGTCACTGTTCAGTAACGAATGCCGATGTATGTCAGCCGAAAAAGAGGCACAATCGTAGCGAGAGCATAGAGTTGATGTACCTGACATTGTTATTCAAACTTGAGATAACGACTTTTTAATAGCATTATAATATAAAATTAATGATTCTCTAATTAAGAAACATGCGGAGTTTATTATCATGAAAACAATAATTAATATTTCCCTCTCTTGAGAAATTCGATAAATATATTAATGAAAACGTTGAGGTATGCGATTTTAAACGATTTTTCAATTAAAATCGTTTTATTTACACGTGCGTTTTGAATTATCTCCATCAAATTTGCTTCGCTTTACTTTGTGAATAATATATTTACCTCAGAGCATATATATTATCATGGTATTCAACTTGTATTGGGAACCTTGTTAGCGAAATTGGTTCTACATTGCGCACTTAATTCCACTTTCAAATTTATAGCGGCTACCATCTGCTGTGTATCTTCGTCATACATTAATTCATACATATCGTCTTCTGAAATTTTGAATGACCTAATATTACTTATGGTATAATTTTACAATTAATCAATATCTACTTTTTATTCTTGATCACATTATCAATAAAAAATTAGGATATTAAACTTCGATTAAATATCACCATCTGGTGATCTTTTTCTGTCTTTTTTTGGAAACGTAATTATGTTAGGAAAGTCGGATAAGATAGTTAATATTGAATCATTTAGATATTCGACGTGTCTGAACATTTCTACGTTGATTATTGTATACGGGTTGAATAACTGGATGAAAAATAGCGCGTTACAGTTTATATTAAGAGTAAATTTTACGCAGTAAAACGCCTGATCATATCTCCTTTTACGGACCCTTATTGCTCGTTGATAATCTAATCTGACGTGGCGTCACCTGCGTATGCGCTAGGGTGCTGCAGTTGCGTTATGTACTTCTTCGTTCTATACGATGTCCTAAATTGTCTTTAACAAATAACATTGTATATGCAAAAATAATAAGATTTAGCTTATCGATGAGCTAAACTTGAATTCTGTGAGATAAATAAATAATGAATACTTAAGATAACAGATAGTGTCGTTTCTAAATGTCGTCTGTATTTATAAGATGGAACAGTTTTAACGAAAATAAAGCGATCTTAATCGATTTTGATTTGCTAACTAAAAATAAAATGGTATTGATATAATAACGTCTTAGGTAAAAATAAATAACTAAATCTTATTTTTTAATTGCGGTGTTCTTTGATGTAATAAAGATGTTTAATACTCCAAAGATTAAAAAGTTGTGTGTATATATATATATAAATAAATTGCAATGAAACTTTTGCTAATAAAGATCGGACTTTAAACTGATAAAGTCGACAGATAAAAGTACTAACGATAGCTCTGGAATATCCCGTATATATGACATTTATCTGTCTCAATTATATGGATGAGTTAGCGTAGACTCAACTATATCAAGCTTGAAAATTGAAATCAATATCATTTTTCGAGATGATCGTTGAAACATTTTATTACGAACACGCGCATAATCTCGTTCTCTGGCCAAGATCAATAAATTGTACGCCCTATATGTATATAATACATTATTTATAGTTCACTTATCGGCTTGTTATAAACTTTGTGTCTTTTACAGATCGATTACCCGGAAGTTCATGGCGGAGTAAGGATGCATCGACCACCGCACCCCCACCCCATAACCGACCATCGTCAGGTCAACCTGGTCTTCGATGACACGGTAATTATCTCTTCATTTTTTTACTTCTTTATGTAACTATGGTTGTTTATGCAATATTTTTTCCTATCCATCAGAGTAAAAATGTCACTTCGAGTTCGAAAACATCTTCTTCGATAGAAGAGAAAATTATTTTCTCTCGTGCACTTCTTAGTTGCAATTATTTTTTTATATTCTTCGATCTCTCTTAAAAACACGAGGATACTGAATTTCTATAGAAATCTAGACTTTGATGAATTATAATGAACATTTGCAGTCTTTCTGCAACGGGAAAAGATCTTTTTATCTTGTATGATACTCTACAATTATCTTCTCATCAAAATTGATAGCGGTGCCAGGTGGCACATAAAAGCTCCAACGATATCAATTGACGTATATATACAATCGTTCCGATAATCGGAATTACATTAGTTCGACGTCGATAAGGGCAGAGTACACGATCGTTCTTCCGCTGGGCAAGAAGCTGAATGGACGAAGCAATTTGGAAAGTAGTGTATCGCGCGAGACAAAAGGAAAAGTGAGACACGCGGGTAGAACGACATAACGGGTCGTATAAATCATCCGTCGGGTCGGCCAGTGGCCTTTGAACGGTTACTATCCGTCGCTGGATGGATGCTTTGAGCGGTCCAGCAGCAGCGATGCTCTCTCCTGTGCGTCTATCTTCATCTGCCCGTCTCTTCTTCTCTGTCTCTCCCCTTCTCGTTCTCTCCTTTTCGTTCCCGTGCGACTCGATCGACCGTCCGTCGACTCCTTAAGCGCATTTCACACTATTATTCGACAATAACTTTCTGAATAAAGAAGTCTCTTAGGATCAATTTAGATGTCATTATCGGCGTCAATTTACGTCACCGCTTGCTTATTGTTCCGCATGGCGATTAACTAATCGCGAGGGTTGATAAATATTAATCGCAGGCGCACTGGCGTGCTCTTTCTCGACCAGTTTCTCGAGCGTGTTTTGCAATCTTCTTATGACGTTACATCGGCTGGCTGTTCCTGCTGACATTCGCGTGGGTATACACGCAGTATTACGTATCGGATGTTATCGTATTTTTAATCCTAGTTATTTTTACTATGTCTCACCTTGATTGTAATGAATTGAGCACATCTACATCTTGAGCATTTATCACGATTTTCAACGTAAATTTAATTAAATATTTTTTTTTATTAAATATAATTTGAATATTAAATATTTTTATACTTTCCTTCTCACGTCTTGAACGTTCTAGTTCTTAACTATTGGCGATTTTAATTTCAAAATATTTAATTGTAATCTTAAAATTTGTAATATGTGATATCAAGTAATTCTATTATTTTATTAGAATAAAGATAGTGTTTAACGAATTAATGGTGAATAAATATAACGTGACATTTGTATATTATTTTGAAAAATCCAAGCATGAGGGATCTTGCACATTAACAGCTATTATCTCTCATCCCGTTGCAGTTTCACGTAAAGTAAATTCATAATTATTCATAATCGCACTCATCATCAAATCTCTTCCAAATCCCATCAAGTAACTGTCTCCCACGAATCAACCGGTTACCGTTATTTAAAGTTCCGTTCCCAGCAATATGCAAATTGCATTCAACCCTTTTCTCTCAACACAGCTATGACCGATTATAAGCATTATTGAACTAATTACACAGATAATTATCATATATTTTTCATTATTGTTAACCATTGTTTGCAGTAGTTCTATTTGTGCGCTGAAGACTATGATGAAATCAATTTTAACAATGATGTTATGTATTATATTAATCAGTTAAGACGCAAGCTTTTATCTTTGTGTAACGGTTTGTTCATGAATATTGAGGTTTTGAGGATAAAAATATGAATCGCATATATTTTCCTCTATATTTATTCTAGTTCTACTATGAAATTATAATATATATTATATTTATAGAAAAAGATATGCATTTGGTCTAATGAAATAGAATTAACATCTTAACCAATATCTTTATTATATGAACCGAAACGTTAAATATCTAGCCAACATCTTTATACGAATATAAAATTTTGTTAAATTTTTCTGCATGCTTAAATTTTGATATACTGGTATATTAATTCTATTTCATATGATTCATCTTTTGAGTCTCTGATTCTTTTATGAATAAATTTCTTTATATAATATTAGAATTTATAATTTTTTTATCACACATTAAAATTTTTATTTAAATAGTATACACTAATATTATAAATTTCATACATTGAATAATTTTTTCATAATAAATTCTAATATAATTATATAAAAAAGCAAGTATATAATTTGTATTTAATTCGGTGTATACGATATAGGATCAATTTAACATTTTTTTATGTCAATCTTCCATTTCACTGTCGATTGGTCAAGAATAAGATTTAATTCTGCAGTTTTAATCACTGCAGAATTATTCATAAGTGAATTCACGAATAAATTCGAATAAAAGATTAAGAGTCCTCTTTGTATTCGCTCCAAAAAATGTAGCATCACGCGCGGAAGCTACAGGTGGCCCGGCATCTCCTCCCCACCGGTCACGGTGGTGCGCCCCCCCGTTGACACGGGCCTGAGGAGCCGCTCTCGGCGCGTTGGGTCACGTGATCACCCTGCGCTCTCGAAGAGAATGCCAGCGGTAGCACGGCGAGGGTGTCGGTGGGACGAGAGGTAGTCCCATGTCCGCTAAGCTGACGGTCGGTCGTGACGACGGCGACGACAACGGACAGACGGACATTTGGACGCTTCACAAATTTCGTGTTAAGTTGTACAAAGAGGGTCACGTCGCGACGCGTCGCGCATCGCATCCGCTTGCACACGCGGTACAGCACGCTATCAGTGAGAGAAAAAAACGGCCAGACGAGGCGTGTAGGAAAATGTGGATACACGGATTGCGTACGATTCGTCAGATCCGCTGTGATTGTCTTCGCTAAGGAAGAGGATAAACACAACGACGAGTATCGTGGATTCCACCGGCACGATGGACGCGTTCGGCGCGTACCAAGTGAGTGGCCTCTCCTCTCAGAGTTGCTCAAAATGGCCTTGGCTGTTTCTTGGACGCCCGTTTCGACGGGAAAATCATTCTGAAGAGTGCGGGGGCGTACAGCCGCCCCTCGTGATGACATGACAACAGGCGTCGTTGTGGTGTTTTGTTTGGGTGGCGGATGTATGTGTGCGCGCGTACGAGAAGCATACCCGCGCCCGATGCTATCTGCGTGCATGCGTGCGTGATGTCATGTCGCTGCGACCTAACCTAACCTAACGGCCAACCTAGAGCCTGTCCCAATCACGCCCATTCCTGGTATTTCCTATTCCGCGCGCTACTAGCGAGCGAGCGACGCCGTCGATGATGTTTTTGCTCTTCGCCTAGAGCGATGTAGGCATAGGTCGTCTTTGACGTTGATATGTAGGAATGGCGTCAGGATAATCCTCATAAATCCTCTTGGATCATTGTTGGACTAGTTTTTTTTATTGTTATTGCAGTTGTTAAATTGATAGTCCGCAGGAAGAATAAATTAGATGGAGAAAGTAATGAATTATTGCTACTATGTTACTTTCTGCTTGTGTAAATGGCAGATCATAATCTTTATAGCACAGTTTTCTCAATTTTTATTCACTTTCTTCATGTTTCTACGAATAACTTTTATCATTAATGTGAATTTATTTAGTATCTTAGAGAAATGTAGATTTTATTTAATTTTAGAGACTACAATTATAGATCTTATGACAAATCCTCTAATTGAGAATTGTAGCTTATATAACAATTCTTTAAATTAATATTTTTTATTTTATAACCGATATAAATATATATTATATTTATAGTATATAGGAAAATATACAAATATATATTTATCAAAACTTTTAAAAGTTACAAAATTTTTTTAGTTTGTATGAATAAAAGTTATTTATAGATTATCATAAACTGTAGTAAAAATTTGCATAAGTAAATCTTATAGAAAATTGTAAAGTAGCACTAAATAATATGTACTGATAAAATATTTATCTTTGCAGTTCTCACAAGGCCTGACAGGCCGGCCAGAGCTGTATCAGAAATCAAACAGAAGCAGCCATTCAAGTGACACAAGTTCAGCATATAGTGGATCTGACACCATGACGTCTGTACAGAGTTCATTAGACGCGGATCCTGACGAGGTGGATCTCTCAGGTCTTGTGGAGTCCATCGTTGACAGTGATGAGGAAGAGGATCTTGCAGAAAGCATGGATGTAAATATTATAGTTTACCTACTTGTTCTCTAGAGACACATTATGTGTATTCTAATTTTCATTATCATGACGTTTCAGAGTTTAACAGTGCGCGATCCTGTACGAGAATGTTTAGAGAAGGACCCTGTGGAGAGAACGGAGGATGACATCGAGACACTTTTAGAATTCACGCAACAATTGAAGGCTTTTACAAACATGACTCTGGCTGTTAGAAGAGCGCTATGCGCTGTGATGGTATTCGCGGTGGTCGACCGTGCCGGTATGGTGGTCCTAAATGACGGTGAAGAGCTCGACAGTTGGAGCGTGTTGATTAACGGTGCTGTCGAGATCGAGCACAGCAATGGCGAAATTGAACAACTTGGCCTTGGAGATAGCTTCGGTATCTTGCCTACTATGGAGAGGCTGTTACATCGCGGAGTTATGAGAACAAAGTTCGTAATGTTTTCTCTTTACTTTCGTATCACGCTTTGTATCTAAAGAGATACAAGAAAATTAAAATGCGACTTTTTTTTCTGTAGGTGCGACGATTGTCAATTTGTTTGCGTCACACAAGCGGATTACTTTCGAATTCAGCATCAAGGCGAAGAGAATACCAGGAGACATGAAGAGAACGGAAGGGTGATCCTAGTGACTGAACTACGAGGGGCTTTGGATGGCGCTGCACGAAGGGGTCACGTGGTTATTCGGGGAACGCCGGACCGTTTGATGTTACAGCTTATTGAAGAAAACAGTATTACGGATCCTACTTACGTGGAGGATTTCTTATTGACTCATCGAACGTTCATCGATAGCCCGTTGTTAGTCGCAAGTCAGTTGCTGGAGTGGTTCGATCAAGCGCAAGTGCGTGATCGCGTTGCTCGCGTTGTCCTCTTATGGGTGAATAATCATTTTACCGATTTCGAGACTGATCCGGCAATGATGGAATTTTTGGAAGCCTTTGAAACTGGACTGGAAAGAGAAAAAATGTTAGGACAACAAAGGTAAATTTTGATTTTTTAGAAGGGAGTAACTCTACAGCATTGCGTCCTGTTAATAAATATAATTATCCTACATACATTTGTATAATTGCGATTTCAGGTTATTAAATATTGCATGCGCGGCGAAAGCGAGAACGCGGAACGTAACATTAGCCAGGCCAAACAGGGACGAAGTCCTGAATTTTAGTATCTTAGGAGGATTTGAAAGAGGTTTCGGTATATTTATCTCGAAAGTTGATAAGAGATCTAAGGCTGAAGACGTTGGTTTAAAAAGGGGCGACCAGATTTTAGAAGTAAATGGCCAAAGTTTCGAGCATGTGAATCATGCGAAGGCTCTCGATATCCTGAGAGCTTCCACACATCTCAGTATAACCGTAAAATCTAACTTGCTTGGTGAGTCTAATTTGTCAGCTAACAAGCAACAACAACGTGCTCGATTTTCACCATCAATTATTTGTTTTTGCAGCTTTTAAGGAAATGCTTCAAATGCCAGATAATTCTCCAAGACCACGAGGCAGAGCAAATAAGCCCGAATTACCCAGGCTTCCGTCGGATCCACGTGCTAGGCTGTCGACGCACGTGGATCCCTTGACTCCCGTGAATCCTCTAAACCCCTTGATCGGTGGAGTACCGTTGTTAATCCCGGACAACAATGTGTCGCCATGTAAAGATGCCAAAAAAGAGCACAAGGGATTCATGACTCTTGGACCTAAGCGACGATTACAAAAAGCACTCATGAAAATGAACATACTGCCAAAGAACACGATCAAGTGAGTGAATTGAATCCAATCGCAGAGTAAATGTTAGTTATCTCTTTGTGAATCTCTTGTTGACACGAGATATATTTACAGCGACGGTGTACATGTGGATGATCCCCTTGCGCCACCGCATACACCACCGGGAACAGGGCTTACTCAAACCACCACCAATCTATATCACTCGAAGAGTAATCCTGATCTTACGTCGCTTTATTGTTACGACGATTTAAGAGCGAACGATTATCCTGAGCACGTACTCAAGGTGTACAAAGCCGATCAAACCTGCAAATATCTTCTTATTCACAAAGAAACAACGGCGCACGAGGTAAGCGGATATTTACATTGCTGTTATTAAATAATGAAAAAATATACGTGTTATTTAATGATTTAAATTAATTTTTCTTATAGGTGGTGATGCTCGCACTTCAAGAATTCGGTATTACGGAAAGTAGTTCGAACTTCTCTCTGGCGGAAGTGAGCGTCGGCGAAGGTGGAATGATCAAGCAACGTAGATTGCCAGATCAATTGCAGAATCTCGCGGAACGTATCGGATTGAGTTCTCGATACTACTTGAAAACCAACGGAATTTCCGAAACTTTAGTAGCCGACGATCAAGCTCCCGAACTTATCCGAGAGTCTCAAGTACATTTTCTGCAATTGAATGCCGTGGAAGTGGCGATACAACTGACTCTACAAGACTTCAGTATATTCAGGTATAATTCAATGATTTATAAGATTCACAGTTAAATGCATTTATTTAACAATTATGCTTAATTATAATTTATTTTGTAATTACTAATGTTACGTATTTTGTTACAGACAAATTGAGTCCACGGAATACGTGGATGATTTGTTTGAATTGAAGAGCAGGTACGGCGTGCCTATGCTCAGTCAGTTTCAAGAGCTAGTCAACAGGGAAATGTTTTGGGTTGTAACGGAAGTTTGTTCCGAACATAATCTCGTGCGGCGCAGTAAGATTATAAAGCAATTCATTAAGATAGCACGTAAGTACATTGATTCTACTTTTTCTTCCACTTATATTTTATGGTTTTTTTTTAGCAATATATTTACTTTGTTGTTTTTGTTCTGAGCAGGTCAATGCAAGGAGTGCAAAAACTTCAATTCCATGTTCGCGATAGTGTCTGGTTTGGGCCATGGCGCAGTGTCGAGATTAAGGGCTTCGTGGGAAAAACTGCCAACCAAATATCAGAGATTATTCAGTGATTTACAGGAGTTAATGGATCCCAGTCGCAATATGAGTAAATACCGGCAGTTGGTGGCATCTGAACAAACGCAACCACCGATAGTGAGTCATCTTTATAACGAATAAAATATTTTTTTATTGATATTTCGTTCAATTTTTATAATTAGCGCTTA